TGCGAGCCGATACGTCCACGCACGGAGAGGCGATTGGGGTGATCGGTTCTTGTCCGATGCCGAGGCCCTGGATTGCGACGGGGACGAGGAGACGGCCCGTTGTGCAGCATGGTGGTTTGCCCACGGGGGAGTCCACCCAGAGTTGCGTGCCATCGCTATCCGTGTGATGCACATGTGGACGTCCGCCTCTCCTGCTGAAAGGAATTGGGCGGAGCACGAGCGCATTCAAACGGCGAAGCGCAACAAGCTTGGTTTTGCCAAGCTGACACAGCTGGTTGAGATTACGAATACAACAGAAAAATTCCCACGAGAAATGAAAGTTGAAAAAACATTCCATAAAAAAAAAAATCCTTCATATTTATAAATTATCATTCCAATGTTCGTCCAATTTAAAATTTTCAATTTAATTTGATATGTTCTCGTCTTAATGTGAGTTTTTTCTTCCAACTACATCTATTTGTTCAAGATGGAATGAAAGTCTGGACGAGTTTATGAAATGTTTTAATTAGACTTTCATTCTACTAAAAAAAAAATTATTCTAATAATGATTGGATTAACCTATTTATGACAGGAAATCCTTACTTAGAATGACAGTCCAATTTAAATATTTCATGAACTCCTCTTGACTTTCATTCCATTTCTAGCATGCAGTTCAAATTAGAAGGGATACCCCATTCTTGGAAGGAAAGTTTTCAAATAAGAATTTTTTTTTTAAAATTGGAATGACATTTTTTAAGATGGAATGAAAATTTGAAATTTAGAATGTAATTTTACTCTAGAATGATTATTTAATTATGGGAAATTTTTCTGTTGTAATCTCAAACTGGCTTCATGCAGGCAACACGGTGGTGGGTATGTCCTCGCGTGGATCATGGACAGTCACGGGGAGTAGAGACCTCGTGAGGCCGCTGGCGAGGATGAGGAGGACATCGACCCGGAGCCGGCGGCATGGGAGGCTAGACTGATAGGGACCTTCAGCGACGCTGAGCTGAGGAGGCAGATTGACGTCTTCGTACGTGACGGCACAGCCCCTCCGCGAGAGGTGTCGGTCGTTTTTGGGCAGAGGGCAGCCACATTGTTGCCTTACGACCATGTGCCTCCTCCCGCAGAGGACGCCGCCGTTCAGGATGCAAAGGCTGGGGAGGACGACTGGACAGACCCGTCGGACCTTGGGCCGGGTGGGGACAGGACCGCAGAGCAGGTGCATTTCACGTACGGCGGAGGATCGGAAGGGCTAGCACCTCGAACATCGGTCATCACAGACGATGGGTTAGGCCGGGCAGAGGGAGTTGGAGAGCGGCGGGCCCCTGCGGGTTCTAGGGGTCGTTCAGAGCAGCCATCGAGTGTCAGGGCTGCACACCTACCCCCTTTGCCGAGGCAACGGGTTGTAGGGGTTGACTCCAACGGAGAGGACGAGCCTGACACGGAGGAGCGTCTAACGGACGCACAGTTTGATCCCAACCACCACTCGTTCGTGCAGTCAGAGGAGCTGCTTCGATCGAGGAGGTTGGCTGGGCAAGGCGGTGCGCACTCGCAGCACCTTGACGACATCCCAGTTGGGGAGCGGAGTCCGGTCACTCCTCCACACGGCCGTGATCGTCATGACACCCACGACACGCCCTCTTCGTTGCACACCAGCGATTTCGACGTCGGTGGATATCATGGTGGATCGCATGTCTTGCGTCATAAGTCTGCAGTTGAGTCCGTGCGCGGGGCCGATGAGACACAAAGGGAGGAGACGGCCGAGGAGAGGGACGCTCACCTTGATTGTGAGGAGGAGGCACGGTTGCAGTCTATGCCGAGGTGGGAGGGTAGAGAGGCATACGAGGCCGAGCAGCGCAAGTTGCTTGAGTTGGAGACTAGCGAAGCACGCCCTGCCGGTGGATCGCAGATGGGTAGTGGTGGACCGACCGTTGGTGTGCAGACTGAGAGCGATTGTGGCATCGAGGAGGAGCGCGCACCCGTGATCGGGGGTGACACAGCAGGTCGGTTGCACGGCGATGACGGTGACGAGCCCGCAGGAGTTCACAGCTTTGATGACGGCGACGGGGGAGAGGCCTCAGACGAGGACGCCATCGACAGAGTGATCGTTGGCCTTTGCGCGACAGATGTGGGTGGTGGATTGCAGGGAGCCCATGACACGTCGCTGAATGCGGATGTTGTTGTGGAGGAGGAGGCAGGGTTGCGGACTGACTGTGCGGCTGGTGACAGTGTTCCACGACACAGTCCTGTTATGGAGGTTGACGTCCATGTTGGTGACAAGGATAGGTCGTCCCCACCATGGGACGTAGAGGGGGACATCTCCCTCGCGTTGATTGTGAGCCCCCCGTAGGCTTCTTACGCCGATGAGGGTATCACGGGTTGCCGCATGGACGACAGGCCGGGGGGGTCCACACAGCCGCTCTTGATCCAGAGGAGTTGGAGCACACGGGGATGGAGGACCCTTACGATCACACAGGTCGGAGAAGCGATCCCCGCGGACCGGCAGATGGATTCGCATCGCCTCCTAGGTGGGTGCCTAAGAGCCCTCGATGGTCCATGTCGTCACGCAGTGAGGCCTCGGATAGACAGCCGGCAGCTGTTGGCGGGGGGGGTTCGACGAGAGACATGCACCCTCCATGACCATCGTCGTTGTGTCCATCACCACAACACGTGCGTAGTGGCGGTGTCACATTGACTGCAGTGCCATCCGGCAGTCGAGGTGGATCAGGCGGTGGGTGGTCGTCTTGCATACGGGTCACGGACCGTGTGAGGAGGGATTACGACAGGGGAGAGGGGTTGTTTACACAAGGCCCGTCAGCGGGGGTAGATGTGGGGGAGGTGGGAGCTGCTGACGCGGCACGACCCAGTCTGCACACCGTAGCACGTATTTTCGGATTGTCCGAAAGACAGACGAGGAGGCATGTGGTTTTCCCGACCCCTTGTGCCGTTAATGATAAACGTCGAGGATTGCCTTACACGTCGGGCGAGGATGGCGATTTACATATGCCAGTCGGGGCGAGACGTCACAGATCCCTCAGTGGACTGGACGCTCAGATCGCTGCGGAGCGTCAAAGTTTGGATGACTTGGTTCGGGAGCGTGACAGGCTGGCGAAGACGGAGGGACACGGGGACGAGGCGGACACGGAGACAAAGCCCATCGATGTTGTCGCGCGGAGGGAGAGGGCTAGGAGAGCGGCGGCTGCTGCTGCCGCGACTGCCAAAACAGCCTCAGTAGGGGATCCGGACGACACACCTCGACACAGAGAGAGAGCGGCACATAGGCCGGGGAAGAGTGCACCTCTTGCGAGTGGATCAAATGCATCACGTCACGGGACTCATGCGAGGCGTAGCGAGAGGAGTAAGACACTTATACATTACGTCACCTTGGTTGTTTCGGGGTCCTTTTATGTTCTTGTATCTTAGGTAGGTGTTTGAGTCCATACGTTTTTTTTTTTTGTATTTTATCTGTAGCTGATATGCCACCAACCTGTCTGGTGCAGGTGGAGTAGGCATGTTGTATTTTATCTTGTATCTTAGGTAGGTGCATGAGTCGT